AATACAATCTTCTATGAAACCGTGTGTTTTATTTGCAGCCAGGAGGATTAGAAACCAGTTTATGTGGGGATTTATGACTTGTTTCTTGGTTGATTGCTGAATCAACCGTGAGGGTCATGGAGGCAAAAGCAGCCGAAATGCCAGTAGCCTTTCATTTATTGAAATACATAAAAGCACAGTTATGCAACTGTTTGGTAGGTTACTGCATGTTGAAAACAGTTTGCCAGATTTAAAACATGAACAAAGACACCAAGGGCTACACAAAATGAAGAGAGACCAAAACTCAAAATAATACAAAAACCTCGAGAAGGTTCTTTGTTAAGCATAGCTTTCCAGGTCTCGGCTTGACAGACTAGGCCAGTGACCAAAGATCCTCTCACAAAGTCTCATTTCATCGAAGCCGAAATTTTGTGCAACTTCAAGCTCTTTCACATCATTTCCACAATAATCTTCGTCGACTCCATATCCGAACTCCAAACAATAGCCAAACCAAGGATTATAATCATAGGAAGTCTGCATTTCCGTGTCATCGTCGTAACTGTAGTAACCATCAAACTGTTCTTCACCTTGGTAGGGATCCTCTGCATTCTCTAAGGCACTCCCATAAGGACCATGTTCATTGTCGAAAGCACCATACCCACAAGAGAACATATCCTCTCCCCAACCGCCATCAAAGTAGGACTCTAGCCAATTATCACTGATGTTGTAAGGCTGCTCTATTTCTTCATAAGCCTGCTCAGTGAGTCGATTATCGTTCCAAAGCCTGCCTGTAAAATCAACTTCTCGGTCCATGTCAGCCAATCCCTCTGGAGAAGATGGAAGTGGCTCTCCGTAGGGGCTGCCACCACCGTAACTGCTATCATACCAGGCGAGATAATATGATGCATACTCCGCGAAATCGGGTTCACTAAATTTCAAAGTCGAGTCGGGCATTAGAGTTTACAAACTTCAAGCTATAACCCTTTCCTCAGACTCTTTCATATGGACTCTTTGCACACTATATTACATCTTGCATCAGAATGCTTGGCTGTTAGAAGCTTTTCAAGTCAATTTTATCAGAGAAAAAGGAGTGGATATTTTGCACTGCCATATCCTTCTGGAATAGAATCCTTTTTTTCTTGAAAGATTAAAAGTAGAAAAAGTCCCATTAGAGCAGAAGGAAAAGATGGAAAAAGAATAGGTATCTTGGCACGATAAGGTGGTGAAATAGCTTGCCAGAATATCTTATGCGATTCCCACATTTTTATGTATGGCCTATGCGTATCCTATGTATTTGAAGAGGCTGGAAACGTGATGGTATTGCTGGTAAAATTGCTATATCGATATACCACTATTTAGTAATGTTACGCTGACTAAATTTTAGGATTAAATTTAGAGCGCAAATGACATGACAATATGTTATTTTGGAGTTTTTTTGGGGTTCAAATGACATAACACTAAATAAAGATGACTTCAAAAGTCATGTCATGTCATTTGGACTCTAAATTTGGTCAGTCTCGCATTACTATTAACAATTCCCATCTTTCACCACGAGTGAGATAGTCTAATACTCCGTTTGGTACGATGAAAAAGTGGGAGGATGGAAAGTTAGAGGGATAAATAAAACATCATGGTAAACAAGAAAGTAAAAAGATGAAAAAGTGGATGAATTAATTTTTTTTTCAACTCTCCAAAATCGAAAGGAAAGTGGATAGAAAGTTAATTATTTGTGTTGAGATGTATCTTGTTTGTCTATATATCTTTTTATATATACATATATTATGTATACACACCCACACACACACACATATATATATATATATACACACACACACACATATATTAAAAAATTTTAAAAATAAAATAATAAAATAAAAATAAAAATTTTAAATTAAAAATATATATATTTTTTCCATCTTAACTAAGGTTGAAAATTTTTGACTCAACACAATGACACAACTTGAACTCGATACGAAAATAAACAGGTTGACTTACAACTCGACACAACACAATTAGTTAAATGAGTTAAGTTAGGTTTGACTAATATTCGACGCAAACCCGTAATGACTCAACACGAATCTGACACGACACGACTCAATAGACACCCCTCATCTTAGCCAGCACAAAAAAAAAAATAATCATTTTTATTTTCCATCCATCCAACCAAAAACAAAGGAAGAAAAGTGTATCTTTCTTACTTTCATCTTTGAAGAATAGAAAATGTATCCCTCATACTTTCCATCATTTCTACTAAACGGAGCATAATAGAATATTGGTTGAACTTTTCACCTTGAAGTTGAAAGTTCGATATATTGGAGTTCACATTGAGATTTGGTAGTTGACCGTTATACTAGCCTAACTATGTTCATTCCGAGAAGAGTAATAGACGCGATCAGGGACTTCATGATCCTACAAGTGAGAGCCTATTAGAGTGATTCTAGGCGTTTTTTTTTGTCACTCCACCCTTTTTTTTCTCAGCTAAGAAAAAAAAAATTATTTCCATTTTTCCAAGTCCAAGTACAAACTTCAAAAAGGTAAATGGATGACAGCTTATCAATCAACCTGAATTTTTTGGCCACTTGCGACTACTAAGGGCTTTTTTTTTGTGTTCATTTAAAAAAAAAACACAAACCATTCCCCTCTTCATCTGGTCACTTAATGGGTTGGTTGAGAATTACCCCTCGTTGAATTTCTCTATGCAGTAACAACTTAGCAAATTAAATTATGACTAAAGAAACTAAAGTAAACAAAATGAGATTGATCAAAAGAAATTTAGATTGATCCTAAATAGTTAGGATTGATTTCAAGGTTTTGAATTTTCGTTAATTACAAACTTCAAAATCCCATTGCAGTATGACTTGACTTTATTGAATCATAACTTTCCGCTACACTACGAAAAACAAACATTTTCTTACCCTTCATTGGTAGTCCCCCTATGTTGAACCATATTTGCATCAAGTAACAGGCCAATTTTCTGAAGTTCAACGTATGGCGATTACAATAAGAGTACACAAGCTCAGACCTAGTTGAGCTTGCGAAGATTGTAAAAAGTAAACTGCCATGTAAGAAAAAAGCTTTTTTAGGCGCAAATTACGCTGTACTTTCCCAGTTTTAGCACCATCTCAATTGAACAAAGACATAGTAGTATAAAGAGGACAATAACTCTGCTGAAGTTTGAACTTATGGCCACTCTACTTAAATCAACAGCATCTTCTCATAGTTAAGCAATGTCTTGCCACGCTCCATTAACAAACGAATATGATATACATATAGTTTTATTGCACATGCCATAAACGAGCAGAGACCTCTACCATTTCTGGACAATTTAAGGTGATGCACTGCCTCTTGGGGAGAAGCCATTATCATCATCATCATCATCATCAACAGGGCTCCTGTCATCTGCAGGACTTGGGCTGCGGCTATGACCATTAACCTCATAAGGGCTCTTTCTTTCGGGGCTCACCAGACTCCTGCCCCTCACCATAGGGCTCTGACTATGGACTGAACCGTCTCGCTCAGTTTCTTGTCTTTCTCTCTCAAGAGAAGGGCTATCTCTCCCCCTTGGGCTGCCCTCATCAGGTGTTGGGCTGCGCTTCCTTGACTGGGAGGGGGATGGAGAACCCTTCCCCTGCTCTGGGCTTCTACTGTAACGAGGGCTCCTTGATCTCCTCTCTTTACGCTCAACAATCCTCTCTCTCCTTGGAGGGGATCTCGACCGACTGGCAATACAATAATTAATCCAGTTAATAAATTAGAAGGAAAAAATCAGGTTATGCCTTCTGCAAAATAAAAGTGGAATACGAACATGCATGTCTGTATGCACAAGTACGCTAGAATGACTTGTTTCTATGTAATGTAGAAAAACTAGGCACACATCCGCCTCCCCCCTTCTTTTTCCCTTTCTCCTTTCTTCCTTTTTTCTATCTCTTTATGGAGAAAAAACAACTGCCAGCCAATGTCAGTAAGAAAAAAAGTTTTCCCATGAACACTTGGTGACACCCTTTTACCAGATGGAGAAAACAAAGATTTAAGTGCATCATTTTCAGAAAGCAAATTTGATGGCCCCCAGGAAAAGCAAGCATACAGACGCCAGGGTAAATCAAGAATCAATCTGTAAAATAATGTAACAAAGAGTAAGTAACTAACCTGTAGCTACGACTCCGGCTTCTTCCACTGCGAGGATAATGTGATCTCACTGGTGGTGACTGTGAGTAACTCCGACTACGTCTGCAGGATAATTATCATTAAAAAACAATTTCAAAGAGATGACATGGTACTCAACAGTGCGTCACCAAAACGTACGAGGAGGTTGAGACAAACAGAACAGTATAGTCCTCTGAAGTACCTGAGCTGCTTCTTGGGACTGTTCTGGCAGTTTCTCTCTACATGTCCTCTTTCTCCACAACGATAACACTTGTTCTTCCAGTCCCCAGCTTTGCAATCTCGTGCCCAGTGACCATCAATGCCGCAGTTGAAGCACCGTCCGGACCCAGGTGGAGGACCCTTGCCTAGATATTCTCTAGAACCACCTGATCCACGTGGCACCTACATGCAAGTCAAACACATGTCAAGCATAACAATAATAAGAGCTAATTACATAAATGAATATAAATTTGAAACGACACTCTAGAGTCCAACAAGATAATAATGGCAGAGAACCACATCTGATGACTACAAAAATAAAAAACTGCTGGACCTTAGAGGGGAAAACCCGCCTCCCCTCCAATTTTAAAGGGAGATGGTTCAACCAAACATAAAGATCCAGCCCTGATTTTTGAGTTCAACCATCCACTCTAATCACCAGCCTCCAAGAAGCCGACAAATTCTAAAAAAATTTAATATGACAAAAAAAATAATCAACAATGATGAATATCCCAATCACAAAAGAATGTCATTGGAGAGGAAAACAATTGGATAATGAACCACAAGGAAACCCATTTCCAGAAAAATGAGGCAAAAGGAAGGAAAATACATGAACCGACCCCGTCATGTCCACCCTGTAGGAAACTACGAGATCAACCCAAGAACCCTGACACAACTGCCCAACAAATCCCAAAAACCCAAAATGTCCCATCCACCACCCAGGGCAACTCAACATTCAAAAAAAACAAAAAGAAAAAACGCAAAAAGCAAAAAGCAAAAAGCAAGTTTACAGTATTTACTCCCTTAGCAAATTCCACAATAATACGGCTTCCATCAAATTCCCGACCATCTAAGCTATATCTTGCATCATCAGCATCCCGGGGATCACTAAATTCCTGCAAATTGAAGTCAAAACGCAAAAACCAACAAACGGAACCCAACAATTGCGTAACATGATCAGCAACCCAGTTATCTAAACAGTTTAAGAAACTAATCAAGTGCATTCATAAGTGAGGAAAAAGGAAAAGGAAGGGGCGATACATACAACAAAGGCATAGTCGCGCTTCATATCCACATCTCTTACTCTGCGGAAGGTTGCAGAAACAGTAAGGCCATCATACTTAAGTACAGGAAGTGCACGACACACCGCCGCACAAGACGAACTAAACACCAGTGTGAGATTGGGGCCAATTCCATAAAAACGCATAAATATTTCAGAAAGAATCACCAAAGTCTCCTAAAACTCGGCAAGAATTTCCACCAAGGGCACCCTCTCACCATTGACCTCCAGGTTAGGCAAAAGCCAGAAACCTTCAACAAGATCATTCAAGTTAAACACACAGACACCTGGGGGTACAATGTTCCTTCACAGAAAATATGATGAATAATGTAGACCCAAGCACAGAACCATGCTTGGCATACAAACCAAGTGTCTCCTACATGAGTGGGAGACGTACCCCACATCACAGATTGAGTGGCAACTTGTCTGATAGATTTTAAATGGGATAGCCAAAAGCTGTTTAAAAACAGCACCACAAAGATGAGTAAAATCATGTAGTCTACATCACTATGCAGCTTACACCGAACCTACCATTAAAGATGAAATATATGCACTCTTAACTTATTGTACCAATGATTTGAATAACTGAGTTTGATCATCAAATACATATTTGTGGAGTGCATCAAAGACACTGTTTTTTCTTTATCAACAAGTTGATTTCCAATTCATTATCAGAAAAACTTCAGAGGAAACAAAAGATTGCAGCTTCCTACACAGTGACCTCTACCTGACCAAAGTGATATGACTGACACAAAAGATGCTTTTTGTTTACCCTCTTCTCTTTCTTATTTTTGACTACGACATGGAATCTAGTAGAATAACGAAGAAAATTAAGACATTACTGCAGTTGAGCTTTGCAAAATTGGTTTGTCTTCAGTAAAATGTGTGCCACAATTCACAAGGAATAGCATGAGCGGAATTTCAAATAACACAAGAAGGTGATTGTAGAGAAGCCAGACATTTGATTACCTCCCATATCTTCTGAAGACATGCTCCAGGTCACGCGAGCGAGTCCTTGACGACAAGTGACCAACATAAAGACGAGTACTACCATATCGATCATCATAACGAGGCATTTTCAAACTGCAGTGATTAAGCATTCTGTTAGCAGAAAGATCATTTTTCAATGAAATAAATTGATTGTTGAAAAAAATTGTTGATTAACCAATATGACTACTTTGCTTTATTATTGTCTATTAGAAATGCAATTGAAATATAATCACATCCTAAGGCTGATTAATTTCAGAAAAAGTATCGCTAGTAAATCTTTAATTTAATATCTATTAATTATAAAAGACGATATTAATTTTGTTGAATGGTCAAACATCCATAGAATAGACAGGATTAGAAAATAGCAAAATCAACTTTCTTGTAATTGCCTCTCTTGTCCATCTCCCATAAAACCCACCCGTCTACCTTATCAACCCACAGGCATATTTGCCCAAAAATACTACATTTCAACCGCTGGAAATTTTATCAAGCACCGGGAATTATCATGAAAAGCTTCTCCCAGAGGTTTACACATACAAGTATCCATACCAAGATAACTGACTATCCCCTAACAAAAAACACAAGCAGGACTTGCTTTCTGCCATCTGTAGCCTCTAAAAGACATGTACGGTTGTACCTGTCCTGCAGCCAAAGTTAACTGGTTCCAGTATGCATTTTATGTCTGCTAGATGAATGATAATAAGTAACCAATCATATTTTTTCTTGTATTTCTGAATTGTCCCACAGAAGCCCTCCAATGTAAACCCCATATCTAGTGTGTCTACGGAAACTGCAAGTATCTCAGCAAGATCTAGTTCTATTAAGTTGAAAATCAACCGGTGGAGATACCACAGCATCTCAAAAAAAGATGAATAGTATGCTTCATACAAACCAATTAAACTTTACCATCAACCCAGAATTCTGTTGTGATTTTGTTGGCACTCCCAAAGCAACTTCAGGCACTCTATTCTCTTGTTCATGACAGTAAAAATTTAACCTTTCAAAGCACTTGAAAAACTGACAACTAATATAAGCCATTTTCTAATGTCCTCTCCGCTGCCCTGATCTTTTAGCTTCAATGATTTATATTATATTAGCTCCTAAAAAGTCCCTTAGATGACTCTCATATCCCAACTAACAGAAATTCAAACTCGCAATTACAGAGGCTCAGTGCCACACAGAAATTCATCTCTCATATAATTCAAATGCTATAAACTTAATCACTCTACCACTCATGAGAAGCTAGCAACCCGAATGATCACGGTCCCTTGGTAAACATATCCCATTCCCGAATACAAAATGCACCGTTTTGGTCACCAAAAACTCGCTCTCATTAACCACAAAAAACACAGTACAAAACAGACACAAAACTACAAAAAGTCAATCCTTTCACATAATTTGCATATGTTAACAAACACCTTACATCGAACAGATGTGTGTTGTGTGTGTTTGAGAGAGAGAGAGAGAGAGTGTGTTATGCAATAAACTCAATTTCGATATCGAAAGTGTACCTCAGTAATGAAATCCCCAAATTCTGATCCGATTTAACCCTAACTCCCTCCAGCAGAGTCTCACTCTCTCCCTCTTTCTCTCTCTTGTCGACTTTGTAAAACAAACCGACAGATATGAACAGTTTGGATGCGTTTTCTTACATCCAAGGGTTGCTAATCGATAATCACAAGTTCCGGGCCGTTATGGGCCAAAGCTGTGGATTTTTTCCAGTCCAATCTCGAGCCCAGTGTGAATTAGTTGAACCGGGCAATACATGTCCCAACTTGGCTCTACATGGCCCAAATTCATGTATACTCCCAAAGGCCCAACAAAAAAATAAGGAAGCACCTTTTTTTTTTTTTTGGTCTGAATATAAATTTTCATTAAATAAAAACCAGGAAAAGGGCCTGTCCTTTTCTAGTATATTTTCACTCTATCCCTATTCTAGCTTCTTTGAGAATAATCTGCTCCAACTGTTTTGGAGGAGATGAGAACCAATCGAGGGGGAATGTGCCCTATCTGGAGATTGCAACCAACAAATGTACTGCAGTGTTGCAAGATCTCCTTATGTATATGTATTTGACATTAGCTAACTGTTCTGCGTATTACCATTTATCATGCTGGATGGCCTCTATATCTCATTTTATCTGACTTTGGTCCTTAATTAAGGGAGTCAATAAGAACTTTTGAGTCCGATTCCGGTATGACCTCATGGTAACCTTCATCCAATGTCATTTTACATGCTCGCCTTACTACATATGCTTGGGTTGGTAAAGGAGAGGAGACAATTATCCTTGCTGAGGCTCTATTCATAAGTTGTCCCTTGTGATTGCGTAATATTGCTTCGTACGACGCATTGTTGCTCTCCTTGAAGCATGCTCCATCACAATTAATTTTCATCTAGCCTATTGGTTGAGTTGCAATAGTCTAAACCCTTCTTTTTTCCCTTGACTGTTGCATTTCATCATTAGTTGACCAGTTGAAAGAGTACTCTACTCCAACTTGGTTGGTGGTGTTGAAATATCCATCCATTGCGTTCTTTCTGGGATGAACCATCAAATAAACGCTAGCAGCGGTTGTCCTGTATATTCCATATTGTTTATGCTTGCGATTCTTTAAAAGCTTTCAACAGTCATACCTCAATCCTTGTATTTTCGCATCTGTCAATTGAAAGTCCAAGAGGAGATTTCCTCCATACTGTAGTAGTCCAGGGGCATAGTAAAATTAGATGTTCTATTGCTTCTTCTTCTTCCCCACATATTGGACATAAAGGATTCTGAGACAGCTTCATTCTCCATAGTGCCCATTTGGTGGCAAGTGCTCTATTAACAACTTTCCACAGGAAAAGTCTGAATTTTTGTGGTACTTTTATGCCCCAAATCATTTTCCAAAGAGCTTTAGGAGTCTGAAATGATGAGCCTGTAGTTTTACTGGCTTGACCTGGACCTAAGGACTGTTTCAGTAAGTGATAGCCACTTCTCACTACGTAGCTGCCTGAGCTTGTATAGGATATCTTAAATGTAAATATTTTCCTGGCCTGGACCTAAGGACTGTTCAAATTCCCTATGTATATTTCTAAATTCCATCTTCTGTGAGGTTGCTTAATTAGTCTTGAACTTTTAGTGTACTGCTATGCCTCATGGTCTTAATTTGACTAGAGAAATATATGTGAGTCAAAAGGAATATAATCTAAGTGTAAAGTCCCCGTATATATAATCAATAAAAATTACAATAAGGGTAAAAAGGTAAAAAAAGAAAACTATAATAAATCCTAATAAACTAAACTGTAATATCTCCAACACTCCCTCTCAAGTCAGAGGCAAAAATGTCAACTAAGTCAAGCTTGACAACGCAGTCTCAAAAAATAGATAGAATGACAGGTTTGGTGAAAATATCTGCAACCTGATCACTTTTCTCCACAAACGATAGAGTGACAATATTACTGTTAACCTTCTTCCGAAGAAAGTGAACATCGATCTCTATATGTTTTGTCCTCTCACGTAATATAGAGTCAGAAGCGAGTTGAATAGCATATCGATTATCATAATATAATGTAGATAAATAAGTCACTGGAAATCCAAACTCGCCAAGAATTGATCTTAGTCAGATAATCTCACATGTGTCAAGTGTCAGTGCCAGTGCCCGATACGCTACCTCTGCTGATGAGCGGGAGACAACTGACTGCTTCTTGTTCTTCCAAAAGATAAGATGAATCCCTCGAAAAGCACAAAAGCCCGTAGTAGATCAACTGTCACACGCTCCCCTATAATCTGAATTTGAATAACAAGATAGAGAACCAGTCTGAGATCCTGATGCATAGAACAACTCAAGTCTAGGACAAGACTTGAGATACCGAAGAATATGATAAACTGCATCAAGATGAGGTTGACATGATCTGTGCATGAACTGACTAACTTGGTTGACAGCGAATAAAATGTCTGGTCTAGTGTTGGCTAGGTAAATAAGTCTACCTACCAACCTTTGATAGATAGTCGGATCTCTCAACTCCTCACCTTCAGCAGTAAGCTTCAGGTTTGGAATCATGAGTTATGATGCTGATTTGCACCCCAGCATCCTAGTGTTTAAGAGAAGATCCATAACATACTTTCTCTGAGAAAGAACAATACCCCTAACTACTATGGGTAACCTCAATCCCAAGAAAGTATCGCAAAAATCTAAAGTCCGTCACATCGAAGGCCTTTCCAAGGTCTACCTTGACCTGCGCAGTTCCAGAAATATCATCTCCAGTATTAATAATATCATCAACATATACCAAAAGTATGACACATCGTCCTAAAGTATTCTGTCGAATGAAGCAGGTATGATCAAAATGACATCTGGTGAACCCTAAACGTACAACTACATCACTAAAGTGAGAGAACCAGGCTCATAGTGACTGTTTCAGTCCATAAAGAGAGTTATGCAGTCGATATACATTTCCAGCAAACTCCCCCTCACCACGAAAGCCCGGTGGTGCATCTATATAAATAATCTCGTCTAGATCCCCATGAAGAAATGCATTCTTCACATCCAACTGATGAAGAGGTTAAGAGTACTCCGCAGCTAGAGAAATAATCAATTAAACAATAGTCAATTTTGCAACAGGGACAAAGGTAGCACCAAAATTACGATCTGGTACTTCAGTAAAGCCCTTCGCCACAAGCCTAGCCTTGTGATGATCAATAGTATCATCCGCAAAAAATTTTAGGGTATAAACCCAACGACAGCCAACAGGCTTCACCCCTGAAGATAAAAAGACAAGATCCCACATATGATTACGCTGAAGAGCGTCCATCTCCGTTTGCATGGTAAGAAGCCACTGGGGCTCCCTCATAACCTCTAAAACAGAGCGAGGAACCGACGTATCTGATAAGACCATACTATAAGCTCGAAAATGTAGGAGACAAATCACCATAAGACACATAAGCAGAGATTGGATATAAAGTCATGGTAGTCCAACCATAACGAACAACTGGACGACGATCACGCTGTGGGTAACGACGCCCTAAATCATCATCCTCCACTGACAATGTCTCATTAGGAAAAGTAATCGGCTCAGTAACTACAATCTCATCAGTACTAACAATAGGTGCATCAATATGCT